AATTAAAATTTTATTGATAATTTTATCTTATTAAAGAATAACTGCTTCAAGAGACTAACTTATCAAAAGCTTATTAAATACGCTTTTTGGCATTTTAATGAGCATATTTTTTCAAGGTTTTTGAGAGATCTCCAATTATTTGGTCCAAAATTTTCAAGAATTTTTGTTTTTCTATTACTTCTATACTGCCACTCCCTTTATCACCCTAAAGAGACCGTTGATCTTCCTCAATTATATTCAAATCTAAGAATAAATTTGGAATTAAATCTTCAATTGCCTTAATTTCTTTTGAAAAATTTAATCTAGCCAGTGATTTCAATTACTCGTTAGCATTTGCAATAGAAAATGGAGTATCTATTTAAACTTTTTTGATAATTCTCCTCACAATTAAGTAAATTTATTTTTTAAGATTTGTTAAAATATCTTAAATACTTCTTTAGAGGTTTTCCTTTTTACGGTTTATTAACAAAGCGAAATCTTAGACAACCTTTGACCTATCATACAATGATGATATTTGATTCTTTGCCTCGTCTAAAATAGGCTAGCTTTTGATGACAATATTGTCGATAATTTTAGATACCAGTTAATCTGAAATTTCGAGGAGCTTCCCTATTATTTCTTCCTTGAATTCTTCAGCTCCAACCTAGACAGTTGCTTTAACCACTTGTTAATAATCCATATTTGCAACTTAATCTTTCATATCCTTTAATTCCTCCTAAGCTCTTACACCTCTGTCTTAAAGTTCTTTTCCTGATTAGATTATTTGTTCTCTGGTTTATTGAAGCTCTGTTCTCAGTTGAGCTATGCTCTAATGTATTTAGGAAATTCCTAGGTTGAGTTTTTCATTGAGCTTATCCTTGACTGCTTAGAATAGCCTCTCAATTTCCTCCGAATTTATTGATGCTGATTACTGTAATTTAGATATTGTCCTTTTGAGAGCATCAGTTGCTTGATTAGAGGTTTTTCCAGTGAAACAGAATTCCTCGAAGTCTTTCAAGAACAATTCGCTGAATTCCTAAACTCTGCATGTTATTGCACTTTGAATGAAATTCTTTGCCGAAGCAACGGTGCTCAGTATATAGAAATCTACTGATTCAATAAACTCAGTTCTTTTTATCTATGAAATTTATCCAATTTGCCCTTTCTAAAATTCTCCCAAGCTCTTATTGGCTGAGATAAAAATATTCTTTACTTCAGTAGCAATGTCAAAACCTTCTTATGCGAAAGTTGAAATTGATTTCAGAGTCTCTATCTTTGATGTGATGAAATGCTTGAATTACTCAGGGTCGTTCAAATCTACTTTGAAGTTCAATAACTTGATTATGTTGCTGAAAACGCTTTAGCAGTATGCCTTAATTTAGGAGTACAATCCCTTAATTTTATCCATCAAATCTCCAATTTAGGTTTTTATCCATTGATAAAGAAGCTCTGCATTTTAAACCTAATCGTATATTTCAATGATTTTTTCTTTGATGTAGTCAATGCTGCCATTGAAAGTCATGAAGAATTTTTCTACATAATACTATGTATAGAGCTCACACTGTTTGTTGATATATTGAGGGACATAGGCTAAAAATTCTTGCTTTGCTACTTGCACCATTGCACTAGCAGCTCCTTCTTTACTATGAAGAATTTAATGTGCATCTTCTGCGATTTATTTGATATTATGTTTAGTCTCCTTAACATTTTATTTAATCTTATTTTTTTCTAATTTTAATCTGTCTTCAATCCTCACTATCTATTCAGCAGCTTCAACTGTATTTTAAACAGTTTCAATAATTCCTTTCAAGTCAATACTAACTGGAAATTTCTCTACTAAACCTTCCCAGTTAATTTTGTACTTCTTGTCTTCCTAAAAATCAAGGATGAATAAGTCTAGCTTTTTGTTAAATTTTTCATGCATTTCAATATTTTTACCATCTTTATCAGATAGAGACATAAAGAATTTTTAAAACTTATTTACAACCTTAGTAGAAATTTTATTCATAAGTGGTTATATTATTGCCATTATTGGTTACACAATCCAATCCTAAAGAAATTCTAAAAATGCATCTACTCTCTCCACACACTTATTGTAGAATTCATCTGGTATATTCATATTAAGATTGCTAAAATGCTAAACTATCGATAGAACCTTTTCCTAAATTACATCGAAGAAATTTGTGACTGATGATGTAAGATTCTCTAATTAATTAGGTGCATTAATGATATTTTGTATTGCACTTGCCTTATTTTTTACCCATAGTGCTACCTTTCTAGCGTCTTTAATTTGCAATTTAGAATCAAAAATTATGCCAATGTATTTTAGGTTTGAAATAATTAGAGATCCAAAGTTGTTTATGACATCAAGTAATTTTTTAGTTGTAGACTTAAAATAATCTAAAATAACAGATGTGAAATTCTAGACATGGTAAGAATACACACATACTTTGATTAAGACTATTCTTAAAGTTGAGAATTGATCAGCGCATAATATTTTTAAATTTTTTGCACCTTATTAAATGATATTCTCTATTCCAGTTAAAATAGTCTTATCCATACAGGTAACTAGTAATTCATATGCCCCTTCTTAAGCTTCTTCAAGTATTGATTTTTCTTTGATTTTAATTTCTTTGCATTTTTCTTCTTTGACTTTTTCATCTTTCTCTGCTGGCTTATCCTCATCTTCATCAAGTTTCAACATCTAGTTGTCGAATTAACTTTCAATTACAGTGACAACCTTATCATTGATAAAATTATCTATCAAATCAGATGCCCATTGATCAACTTGTTTTTGAGTCTTATCTTAAATTTCATTAATTGCATTTTTTGTTTTATCATTGAAGAAAAAAGTAATCTATTAATTACATTTGTCTTTTTATTCTTATGTCAATTAAAATACTTGTTAAGATTGATATGCAACTTTGATCTCTGAATAAGTTTTTTCAGTCTTTTAAATTACTTTTGAGGTCTCTTGAACTTGTTGAGATATCTTTCCTATCAATACACATGATTACATGATTTGAGTCATTGATGCAAGAGCAGCAACCATCTTAGTTGAATAATTCTAGCCTCCTTTTTGAAACTTATGTAAAATTTTTTATAGAAGATCTTTACCCTAATTAAACATTTTAATGAATTTCTAAGAGTGAACTAAGAACATTGATAAACTGGATTTCATTGTGTCAAAGCACTTGTTCAAAAAACCATCTCTGTCATTTTCTGTAATTCTAGCAATTGCTTCGAACAAGAACTTCTTTATTGGTTCAATAACTGTATTTACAATTTTCTCAATTACAATCATTCCCTTAGAAATTATTATAGAAGTTCCTTAATTAATTAAATTTTCAGCAAACATCTTAAGAACTCCGAAAGTCTTTACTGTCCATTTTATTACCTTTTCTTTTATCAATTGAATAATTGACTTAAGTGCAGCTTTTTTGACTTGGCTAATGGCTAGTCTAATTCCTGCTTTTTTTACAAGCTAGCCACCAGCTGAGCTAGCAAATGATGAGCAACCCATGGTTACAACTGCAATAGCAAGACTGATTGCTTTTTAAATAGCATAATCAGTCCATGAAAACTCACCTTAGGCCATTGCTGAGGCTCCATATATTATGTCAGATACACCTTCTGCAATTAAAGCAGCTCCCAAAGTTGCACCCACTCCAGTTGCTGTTAAGATAACTCCTAATCCAATTTATGCAAGTCCAATAAGCATAACAGCTGCAGCTCTCCAGTCAAACTTCCAACCTTGCTAAAGTACAATAATCTTTTCTAAGCCTAAATCATTCATTTCTTCGATCTCTCTTGGGACTGGTTTTTGCTATTCACTAAATTTGGTGGCTAGTATAGTTACCTCTACCTCTACAGATTCCTTTATCTTATTGATTCCTATCTTATTCAGTATAGCTTTGTATAGATTCTATTTAAAAATGTCCTTTTATTTTTGCAAAACTTCTATTGGACTATCAAATCTCAAATCTTTAAATAGATAGGCATCTTTTTTCTTCTATTCTTAATCTTTTATTATCGGAGCTGAATTTATATTTATCATTGCCATAAAATGGTCAAGTATTTAATTACTTTGACTAGATTTATTTAGATCAATTTAATCAATCAATGAATATACTTATTTCTTGATTTTATTTCTTCTGTCTTTTCTGTGGTGGGTTAATTTAAAATTAAAAGCCTTTTATTTAATGATATTTTTTGTGAGCATAAAAAATTTGAGTGATGTAAATTGCTCAGATGATGAAGTGTGTACATTAATTTAACTTTTAATTATCTAGATTTCTGACTTACCCTAAGTGAGAGCATCATCTATATAATTTTAAATTATATTAAAAACTCTTTCTCCGAATTCTTTAATCATTTAATCCTTGTCATTTTTAATAATGAGAGTTCCTTTTTCCTCAATTTATATAAGCTTTTTTTATATTAGTTCATTATAGTATAAAGAGAGAGAGCTCAGATTTTTCTTGAATACCTATATATCAAAGAATTTTTAAGAACATTCAATGAGGAACGTCATCATTTTTTTCTATTCTCCATCAGTTTTGAAAGTAGCAAGCATGAATTTTTCTGGATCAAATAGGGGAACATACACCAGTTATTCCATATTATTTAGATATCCCTTTTATTTTAAACTTTAAATAACACTGTCTTAGGTTAAAAACACATTCTTGAAATCACTTTCTATGAGGTAACGCTCTTAATAACTTGATTTTCCAATCTTTCCTTTTATGACATTGATTATTTCTTTGTCACAGTACTACAAGTTTACTGGGAGATCTATAATTTCTCCATTAACAATAAATCGATATGGCTATTATTAAATTTGAACTTTTGTGGATATTCTCTCAAGTTTAAAAATGTCTGTATTATTTTCAAAATATGTAGTTATCTTTGTAAGCATATCTTAATCATCAATGCATGAGAATATTTCTCTTAGGACATCAAGTGTTGGTAATTACCCAACTGACTATTTTATTGAGTTGATATGATAGCTATATAAACCTACAATCTCTTAAACTTACAATTCAAATAAATTTTCATATTGAACATCTTTTGCTCTCTACTTATAATTTTAATCAACAGCTTTTGCAACCTGCATACCAGCAAGTAAATCGTTAACTTTTGATTGCATAAGATTTAAACTTTATTTCAATATTAGCCCGATCTATTTTCTCTTTTCCAACTAGGATTGAACATCACTAGCGACATGATTGTATAAATTTTATAATCCGAAGAATTCGAGTACAGTTGAGCTGTTTTTATCCATCAATGCCTTTGCCTTTCTGTATAAAGCAACTTCACAGAATTATGGTTCATTTTTTATTGCCTTATTATAGGCTTTTAAAGCCATCTTAATGAATTAATGCTCATCAAAAAAGTTCCCAATTTTTACTAGTTCACAGTAGGATTTAGCAAATTTAAGACCATCTTGATCTCCGACGTTTCTAAAACATTCACTCCTAAAATTCTCGAAAAATTCGAACGTAACCCTTTTTCCCTTTTTGTATACTTCACTCAACTCCTCTGTAATGCTCTCTAAAAAGAAAGCCCACCTATTCTTTAGAAATTCAATTTGAATTTCATAATATTTTGAAAATAATTAATCCCCTAGAGTGTATTTCATTCCAAAGTCATGTTTAAGTTTATCAGATAGCTTCAAAAATAAGTCAGTGAATTTTTAGAATAATATTCCTTCAATTTCTAATTTAACAATGGTCTTTTTCTTTAATTCAGCAAGCCTATAGCTCTCAATCCTGTCTCTCTCTAACTTGATCTCATCGATAGATAAACTTGAATTAGGAAACTAAATACAAAACTATCCACTACCTTGCTGCCCTTTTCTTGCAGTTCTTCCGAAAGCTTACTCCTCAACTCTTATATTACTTGGGAGAAAAGTTACTGTAACATGCATTCCTCCAATCTTACTAACTTTATCATTGACTTTCAAGTCAGTTCCTCTACCTGCAATGTTAGTGGCAACTATTACTTCTCCTCCTAACAGGGGATTAGATTCAGTCCCTATGTCTAAGTCTTCATCAGCTGAAATTCTTTTATATACCTAATTGTGAAATTCAGCAATGAATTACTCAATTTGTAAAACTGAGCTTACATTCTCACAAATAAATAGAATGGGTCGCTTCTATTCTATACACACATCTTTTACTATCATTTTAATCATATTTAACTAAGCCTGAAGTGTTGGTACAATAATTGGATCGTTTTGAATATAGCTTGATTGAGTAAATCTAGGTAAATTAAAGAACTTCAAAGAATAAAGATTATTGAGAAGATTTCTTTCAACTTTAGAGCCGAGTGTCCCTGTTAAACCATAAATTTTGCCTTTGTAATTTTAAAAGTATTTTAAGTTAGAGATGAAAACAGCTCTAAAACTCTCAGGAGTAAGTCTATCTTGATGTTTGAGTTGCAAGAATTGATGAAGTCCATTACTCCATTAAGTTGATTTTTATTCAACCCCTGTCTCTTTATCCATCACAACAACTCTCCCATTATCTTTTCTCATTTTCACAATATAGGGATCATTTTGATGCATATTTTTAGCGGTAAAAGCATTATTTACATACTCTGGAAGCTTTTTGAAAATAAGATTCTTTAAAATGTTTGGAATCTGGATATTTTTAGAGTCGATTCTTAGCTTTAAGCTCTCTGTAATTGCTTTAATATCCTCTTATGTTCCCTTAGTATTTCCTTTAGAATGAACTGATGCCCATATTTGAATATATAAATTTTTCAGACAAGCTAATTCTGGTATCTTGTGCGATAGATATAGAGTGCTTTCTCCTTTATCTAGAAGTGAACTATCAATCTCATCTATCATTAAGCTACCAGTTGTTCTTCCACCTCGAACACTTTTGCCAATAAAGACTGAATCAAGTAGATAATCTCTTTCAAATGAACCGATATCGCCATAAATTATATCAGCCTAGTATTTTTATTTTCTTTTATCTTCATCTTCAGTAGCATTTTCGTCACAGTTCGTATCTACTTTTATTCCAAATTAATCATAGATAATCTTAGTCTCATAACAATCTCTGGAAGCAAGATCACTTGAACTGCTTAGTATATCAACTTTCATTCCTCTGATTACTTGGATGATTGACCAGAATGCTGTTATTAAAGTTTTACCCTCTCCTGTATAAACTTGCCCCACATGACCTAAATCAAAATAGAAGAATACACAGCATGAGATTTAAGTATGTCGTGCAATGTTATTAGTAGCCAATTAAATCCCTCTAATGATCACAGCAAATATCTCACATGCATTTTTGAAGTTCCATTTATCTTGGTAAAGATCTTTCGTTCCTTAACTGTTTGCCCAGTTAGTTACTTTTTGCCTATCCCATTTAGATATTATCCCTTGTGAAGGTAAAACATTTGAAATTCCTCTGAAAACTTGGAATATTCTTAGTATAAACTGAGTGAGCCTTGGTTCATCACCATTTTTAGGCTTAACCCAATCTTTAACTCCATCATTGTAATCATCAATATATATTTACTCGCACAAATTATTGCATTCGAATCTAAGAAGCTCATCTTAAGATAATTTTTATTTATTTTTTTCATCTCTTATTTTCTTTATTTCAGCCTCTTTTTAAAGTAGTTTAGCCCATATGCTTATGTCACTCTCTTTTTCCATTATTTCAAAACTCTATTGATTTAGAATAATTCTGCGGTTATTAATCTTCTAAAGTAAGATAAGGAGATCTTAAGGATCATAGGTTTTTTATTTCTTAAATGCTTTTACGATTAAACTGATTAACAACTATAATTTACTTTCACCATAGAATTGGCTGAATGAATATAATCCTGAGACAATATTTTTGTGAAGAATATTATCTTCTGAATAGTTAAGTTCTTACCTAATTAATATTTTCATAATCTAAATTTGAATATCATTGATTTATCCTCCTTTAAGTTATTAGACTACTGAATCAGTTAGAAGATTCTTTTTCTTTAACTGAACAAGCTTTGTAATGACATTTAACAATGATTCATAACTGAGAAATAAACTTTCACTTTCTGAATCAATTTCCTCATCTAATAGACATTTTATTGTTTCAAGAATGCCGACTGATTCTTGTATATATTTTAAACCTTTAGTTATTGATTATTTTATTTTTAATTGCTAAGTAGATATGATTCCATTCTATTTAGAAAAAAATTCGTTGATAGATCTCTCGCAAGAATAGATTAATAATTTCTAATGCCATATTATTGGTCTGTATTACTCTAAGATATTAATGATTACCTCAAAATTATCTTTTTGATCAATAATGAGTAAAAATTGTTCCAAATTTCTGACAGATACTTAAGAAATGTAATCGCTTTTGTATGAATTAGTCTTCAATGATACTGTCTTAATGATATCATTAAACTTATTTAATTTATTTTCATTTAGATTGAATCTCTGTTGAGTTAAAGCAGCTAATAGTCCTTTCACTTTCTTCATCCTCTAATCAAGGTAATCTTTATCTTCTTATAGCTTGACATCGAGTGGTTCTAAATTTTCAATCCATAAGGAGCAGATATAATATGCTGTCATTATGAATACTTCTTCCTTCCAATTGCTATAGTCCTTCTAAATCAAAATACTCCAAATTCTATTAATATAGGTTAATTTGCTTTTGCTAAGATTATTCAAGATATCAATTAAATGCTAATTTTCTATTGATTAAAGCATTTTAATAAATTCAAGCTGCTTTTAAGTTGATTCATTTTGTATGGATTATTTCATATGAACCAATAAATAATTATCATCTTGGTTTTCATTAGTTTCTTAGCGATATGCCAATTATAAAGCTTGTATAAATGATGCTCGATGCTCTTAATTAAGATTTATAATATTCTCATTTTGATACAAGAATTAAAGAAGTTTTTGATTACCTTTATTTTATAGTTTAAAGGTAATTCTTATTTGACGAATAGTACTCTCGAAATCATTCTCAATAAATTAGTTAATTGAATCTTAATTTTCATCACTATTTAGTAATTTGCTGATACTATTACTTGTGAAATTAGCGAAAGTATTCTTTAATTATTTTAAAAGTTCAGAATCCTCTTCCTCTTCCTAGTCTTCAATTTCTTTCTCCTTTATTAGTTTTATCAATTTTTGAAATATTGTTTATTTTTGTTGATCATTTACGAACAATAATATGTCATAGATATCTTTAAGTTATGAGCACATTGAAGGAGATAGAACATCATCCTCGTTTAAAGATCTGTGTAGAATCAAAAAATTTTCAACTTCCTCTTTATTATTATATTATAGATCTTTAATATCATATAATGCCTTCTTTGGATTATGGATACTAAATTTATCAATATGTGACATGTTGATTTTTAAACTGTCATTTATTATAAATTACTAAGAATAGATAAGATTTTCAAATTCTGAGACTGCCTTTGATACTGATTTGCTTTCTTGGTAAATTTAGAGATATTTTTCACCAACTTTAGATGCATACTTATAAAATTTATCAGTAATTTCGATAGATGAAAATATTTCACTTTCATATTATAAGAGAAGTGAGCACTTATCTGATTTTATTTAGCTCATTACTTCATTACTTAGATTCTAGAATATTTAAGAGCCTGAAATATAGTATGCTGAATCTAACTTCTAGTGAAGAGCTTTGAGTGAATTTATCTATTAAGAAGAAAAGGGTGTTAGCTAAATGATTTTGTTAATTTCCTAGAGATAATCTTATTGATTTGTAACATATTCATGCATTTTTTTAACATTAGGTTCGCCTCTAACAGATTCAGTTATCTTTTAAAGATCTTATATTATTAAATTCATCAAGTTATCTTTGTTATAAGCTTCTATGCGTATAAAATTTTGCATAAAATCCAATGATTATTTCTATATAAGACTATCAATCTCTTATACTTTGCTTTCCTAGTTACTATCATTAATACTTTTATGGATTTTTTCAATCTAATTTTTGAGAATTTTTAATTACTTTGATGATGACTTTAAAAGACCTTATTTGTGCGCACCTACCAGGAGAATAGATAGATTCTTGTTCAGTCTGTCAATTGAGGATGTTCTATCATTGCCTTCAAATTCTGGTAATTTAGCAATAATATCAAGAATACTACTTATCTTTAATTTACTTTATGATAGCCATTAGTTATAATCCATACATCTATTGAAAAGATCTTCTTTCTTTTATAATATAAGAGTAAATTAAAGTTCAGTTTTGAAATAATCGACTAGCAAATGTTTCCACTAATTTTGCTACTTGAACCTTATTTTAAAGTCCTTAGAATCTTTAATTAGTGATAAAATGTCTTTTTCAGAAATTTAATTGATGCAAAATGTAATCATACACACAGCAAACACTTATTTCAATTGTTCTTAATCATGAATTCTGCCTTTTTGCTTCTGATCTTGAACTTTAATTATATCAAATATCTTTTTAATTAAGCTATTGCAGAGGACAAAATTTTATTGATATGTAAATTACTCACTATCCTAAAATTCATTAAATTCCTTTGACAATTGAATTAAAGCATCCTTTTCTTTGTTTCTTTCACTTGTTCCATACAATTGCTCAGATTCTTTTGTGATTAGCTCAACCTTTACTCTTGAAACAAGTCTAACTTATTTCTTAAATCTTTCAATTAAGTCTAAATCCAGTTTGGCTCTTGATTAAATTTCATGAACAAGATTATTAAGCATTTCTTTACAACCCTAGGGATCAAAGATATATTGAGAAAACTACTTCAAAGCTTAAAGGATGGATATAATCTTATATTTGAGAGTTGCATTAATTTCAATCATATCATCTTCAAAATCTTAGAAAATATCATTAAGTCTATTCTCTATGTCCTAGAATACTTTCTCTTTGAATAATTTGCTTACAGTATTCCTCAAATCTATCAAAATAATTGATTCCTCAATCCTAGCTGAATTTTGTTTTAAAAGCACTGAGTTTGTAGAAGACAATAATTCAGTAGTATCAAAGTCCATAATTTTTATAATAAAAGATGCACATTCAGGATCTTTCTCTATAATCTTTTCTAATTTATGAATTAGCTTTTTGCCTTTTTATTAGGATAGCCCTAATTTCTCTTTGGTTGTACTTTTCACTCCAAATATTTTGCTTATTGTTTTGAGTTTTGCCAATTATGTATCGTAACCATCAATATATTGCTCATAACAATGCTTCATTATATCTTCAAAGGGAATATTACATTCTAACTTGAAAAAATTATCAAAAGTAAATGCAGCTAGCTTTTTAAAATCAGATTTGATTCTCTTTTGCTCACTTATTAAAGAAGGATCTCTCTCAATTTTTGATTTCATAGTCTCAAAGTATTTCTTTATTGCTTAGTATGATTCAATTTATTTAATTAGATTGTTAAATTCCTTATTTTAGTTTTTGAAATTTTTTCTTTCTTGTAGATTAAATTAATCATAATATTTTTCTAAAAAATCTTCTGCGTCTTCATTTAAACACTTTTAGACTATATAACTAGTAAAATTGAGATTACCTCTATAATCTAAAGTACTCTCAAAATGTTATAGATCATTTTTCCCTAATTTTTAAAGTTCAATCCATTAGTTCAAAATATTGAGAAGTATAAGTTTGAGGTCTTTTTCATAGAAATATGATTACTATCTCTGAGAAATTTTAACAAGCATCTACCTTAAAAATTGATCATTTTGAAAATTACTTTGCCCATCAGTCTTTGAATAAAACTTTTCTAGAAGTACCTCTAATTACTCTTTAACTTAATATTAGTCTCCAGAGTAACAAGATTTCACAATCCAGTCTCTAAACTCTGATTGACTCATTTAGTTTATGAATGCAGTCGGTACTTCTACCTTATGAGAATGCAGAACCTATTCTGAAGCTTGATTTTCAAAAATAAGTCTCTTTCCAATCTTAATAAGGTTTTACTTAATGATATACCATTTTTGACTTGTTTGACCTTTAATCAACTATAGACTATGTCTTCTCTTTATTTCTTCAGTAATCTCCTATAGCTTAATCTAACTAGCCAGATCAGAGGTGGAAGCAAAGAGAACTTCTTTAATTTGATTTGCAAAAATCTATTTTCTTAAGAGGTCTATTTTAGCTGTCTCAAGATAATAATGCGCTTCCATCGCTGATTTAAATACTTCATTAGTTATTGTCTGCTGCATTTTTATCGTAATTAGAATTTTGTTCAATCTATCATTAGCATGAAGCCATTTTTCCCATTTTTAATCAATCATAATTTTAATACTTTGAATTTAAGATGAGATAGAATTGAACAAAGATTGACCCTCAATAATTATTGCCACAACTTTGTCGATATAGCTTTTTATGAGACAGACCTCTTCCATTGTAAAGTAAATTAAGCTAATATTTTACTGTACTGTCAACAAAAATGATTTTCCATTATAGCCTAATAAATGAGGGAGATAGTAAGTGTGAGTATTGGTATCCTCTACCAAATTAGCGAATAATTTAATAACTTCAACAAACTATTCGCTCTTTTGATAGAAATTGAAGTGATACATCATCATATCAAGTGGATAGTCATCATATTTAATTGTCCTCTAGAAGTAGTGATTATATAGAGAACATGACAATAAAGAAAATTCTTTAATTCCCTCTGATGAATGATGATGGGTTGAGGATTGAGATGATTGCAGAGTGGATATCATTTTCTCAATCTCAGTGATTATGTTAATGAAAGAATTCTTTTTAATTCCTTTGTCTGCCCTCATAAATTTACTTAAAACCCCAACAGTGAAATGGAAGACCTTTGATAAAGGAGTGTCCGGAACATTATTCTTTAATGAGATTGCTATTTTTAGAGTACTTATTGCTTCCTCTTTTTCCATGAGTTGAATTTTGTACATTAACTATTCGAAGATTTTGTCGGCATGTTTTTTGCACTCAGAGAGATAATGAGGTTCAATAATATCTTTATAAAGAAGTACTTCTAGCATATCCTATTCAATCAAAGTCTTCACAGGATTTTATTTTAGAATTAATGCAACTTTTGAGATAATAACACTTATAGAATTCAAAGTTTATCTTAAACCTTGATGATAAATATTTTCAAGGCAATCTTTGATAGATTTTATAAAAGCTTAAACTTTTTTATCATGATACAGATTTCTCATTAGTAGTATGAAGGTATCAACCATTTCAAGGAATTTTTCAATCAGATTTATTTATGCTGGATGATTAATTTTAAGGTTCTATAAAAAATAAATCAGCTTTTCCTAATCAATTCTCATATACTCACTAAGATCTGGAAGTACGATTTAATTATGACCAATATCCCATTCAAAGGATTTATTTGGCTCGTTCTTAATTTTAGATTTATCTTCTTTGTAGGTTGCTTCTTAAGTCACTTATTACTAAACCTGCTGACTTGTAACATCAATTTATTCAATATTTTAATTCATTTGCATAAGCTGCTTATTTTGTTCATTTATTTTTTAAGCAACATCTTACTGTTTTTTTTAATTTTACATGATTGCTTACTTTTAATTAGAAAGCATCATTTGCTTTTCTTAGAGTTTTAAAGCCTCGCTTTATTTCTTGTTTTATGCCATTTAATTTGACTTTTATATCTAAGATTGTTTCTGCTTGTTAGCATCTTGAGTTTTTTACAGCTAGTCGATTTTCTATTGTGTTTCTTTAGTTTCTTTCTGAGAAATAACTTACACTTACTTTTAAGTTTCAGCACTAATTAATTCCTATGATTTTTGCTAAAAGATGGAGTCAATCAAAGCTTAATTAATAGCCTATTTCTAGGCAGATTTTTGCTTCTTGTTCTATTGCTATGTTGCTTTTAAACCTCTTAAATCTTTGAGAAGCCCATTTTAATCTTTAGAATAATCATTCATGCCGTACCTTTCATAATCATATTTATTCTTGAGTATTCTACATTCGTAAGACCTCTTTCCAAATATCCCAATCTCCTCTTCAAGTTTTAAATCACCCTCATCATAATGCATCTTTGTTGCCCATTGATTATATTCATGGCAGTCTACTCCATTTAAGCCATCTTTACCAGGTGTGCCTCCATTTCCCTCTACTCCATCATTCCCGTTTGAACCTTTTTTTTATTCCAAATTCAAAGTTGCTTTTTTATTTCCAATGGTAACAGATATCTAGCCATGATAACCACCTTCACCTCCAACACCAGCATTACCCCCTAGCCCAGCATCAGAACCTAGTCCTCTTTTCGTTCCATACCAAATTTTGTGTTCATTTCCCAAAGTACTTGTTTTAAATACATTTGGAGACTCCTTATCCTTACACATCGATAAACCGTCTCTTCCATGTTTACCTTGTGCTCCATTATATCCATCAAGGCCATTAGTGCCATCTTATCCTCTTGCTCCATTTGCTTTTAGCTTGAGACACTCTTTCCACTATATATCCTCAAAGGCTTTAATCATGATGTTACCTGCACTTTCTCCAGCAAGTCCGTGCTTTCCATGGATTGGGTCTCTTTTATTTTATCTTTGCCAATCATTCAACTAATCTTAAGATTATTTAGATTAATTAGGGGAGGATGTGTCAATTACACATTCTTTAAACTTAACAAAAATGACTTTTGCCTCTATTGCTACATTTTTAGAAGGTGCAATGAGATTAACATCCCATATCAATTGCTCTATTGCAATAATTAGAATTTCTTTTGCTTAGTTTATGAACTATTCATATTAACTTTTTACAGTGGTCATTGAGAAAAAATTTCCTGAGATTTAAAGTATTCCATTGCTAAGTTTGACAACTGGTTTGGCAAAAAGCACAGCCCATTTTGCTTTGATTTCATCTGCATATTTTTTGTTTTAAGAATTTCTGTTTACGAAATTATTGAATGAATTCAAATCCTCCTAGCCTAAGCCAGTTATCTCACTCCAAATTTTTTCCATGTAAGTTTTATCTATAATTAACTAAGTTTTCAGTTAATTTATCACTTCCCCAAGAGTAGAACTTTTGTCAAACAAATTTAGACTAACTTGTTCAGTATGCTTTTTAAGCCCCTTATATATACTGTTATAGAATTTTTTATAGACCATATCTTGATTTTAAAGGTCTAGTTCCTCTTTTTGTTTTGAAAGTTTTGCCATCTGTGCCTCCAATTCCTTCTTTTTGTCTTCACTCTGTGTTTTTTGGAGCTCTTTTTCTAGTTTTGAAATTGCTTCATTTTGCTCTTTAATTCTTTCCTTTTGGTTTTCTATCTCTTTCTCTAGATGTTTCTACTCCTATAAAAATTTGATTTCTTCTAGCTGAAGTGCTAGTGACTGTTGATTTTCTTTGTAAGTATTTTCCTTGATTATTTACAAATTGATCTCTTGGATGTAAGATTTTAGGTCTTGTCTCATTCTGAATAGAAACATCTTTTCAGTGGACTATTTACAGTGCTCTATTTATTCAACTAAGGTATCCATGATGTATGTATGCTTCAAAATTAGTGCTTAATCAGGATTATCATTTGAAAAATTACCACTTCTGACGCTATCTGAGATCACTTTCCAAAGCTCACTAACTGAAATGTTTTTCTTTAAAGAGTTTGTGACCGAATCTAAAAATTCTTAAAAGGATGCTTTGCTCCTTTCATAAAGATATTTCATAAAGTATTCAAGTATTGTGTAAAGTGAACTTTCATTCTCAATTATGTTCAGGAGGAATTCATAGACCTCAGTAGGATTTGTATAGATCCTCTCCATCTTTACAAGTGTAGTCTCATAGCATTCATAGTCATCTTAATAGACAACTGGCCAATAGTAAAGTTTCCTTTAATCTCCAATAAAATCCTTACATTTGGACCCATCAATAAGATCTACAGAGAATTTCTTATTTAAGTATTTTACAATGCTTGACTTTCCCAATTTTTATTTTGTTTATTATATCTTTTTGATTATTGTTTTTAGATCATCATCAATTTATTAATCGTCATTATTTGGAATGCAAGTTATCTTGAAATTTATCTTAATATATTGCAAGAGCATGCAAACTAAATCAGAATAACTAGCATCATCACCAGTTTCTGTTAAAAACTTTCCTGTGAGTGTCTTGCAATAAATCTAATTGTCATAGTAAAAGTATGACATATTGTCTAGTACATTGATATCTTCCTTTTTCTCCTTTCTAGATTCAAATTTTTTTCTTTCAGATATAAATTACTAGTATACTTCTAGACTCATTTCATTATTCAAATTTTCATAATCTTCATTTTCTTGTCCTTACAGCTCTTCCCTAATATGCTCTAGACACTAAATAATTGAATTTTTAAGATCTAGTATTTTATCTTATCTAAGAATAAATGGAACAGACTAGGTCATCAAATACTCATTAAGGTTCTAATGGTGATTCATCGGTATTTATAACATAAAATCTTTATATTTTAAGAAGAATTTTTCTAATTTAGCTAAAACTTCGTTTTACTTAGGACCTTAAGCTTCCTCGCCTTCCTTTTCGTATAGAGCTTTAGATATTTGCAAGAACTTTCTTTGCTACTTGTCTTCAAGGAGTATATAGAATTCAAGGAGTTAATCTTCCAAATCAAAGTTCTACTCTTGATTTTTAATATATTAATTAATTGGATTAGCTTTTGAATCAGAAATAGAAAAGTGCTCTTGTCTTAAATTTAGAATATCAGCTACACTCATGCAATAGATTTATTGTTTTTACTAAAGAATATTTAGACCTATTTGAGCGACTTCGACTCCAGCATGTTGTTCATCTATTAAGGATTAAGGTTTTAGAAATTCAATCGAATATTGAGAATCAGTTAGCTCCAGTGATTCTTAAAAGAACTCTTTTACTTCTGGTGTGAAACAACTCTCAATAAAGGCATCATTTTCTTGATAGATAGAACAAATGCTTTTAGACTTTTTGTCAAGATTTATTTCCAAATGTGCAAAGAATATTCGATTTTCACCTAATTATACTGTGAGAAAAACCAAATATTGTTATAAATTCGAATGATTAATCTCATTTATAAGCTCATTAAATAAATCTTCATTTTACCTTGTGCTAAAAGATGAAAATATATAAATTGCATTAGTATTTCCTGGGTCAGATGCTACTTATAAAACTTATTCTGAATCTTCTTCGCATTTCCAATTTTATTTTAAAGCACAACGAATCCATAATTAAGTTATATTAGATATGGTGTATTTATACATGAAATTTATTGGTTTTAAATCCTAACTCATAGATTAATTTTCACGTGATATCATTGCTTTAAAAAGCTATGTAAACTAGACATTGAATTAGTCTATTGTTTAAATATTTTCATTCTCAAACAAATCTGTCTCATGTTTGAACGTCGATTTAATTATTGAGAATTATCTTTCTTCAAACTTACTTTTACTGACCTGCCAATACGTCAAATTTTCAGATTTCTTAAACTCTGGAGAGTAAGTCATATTGATGAAGAATAATTGCTCTTCTTCATCAATTAAAGGGTAAATTACAATCATATGTTGATCATTTTTTTTGTAATTTTAATGAAAATTCTTGAGAATATTTTCAGCTGATCGAATTAGACCTTTTTTATTGTCGATATATAAATTTTGACCAATTAGCAAAGCATTTATCTGAATCATATTTTAAGATTTGGCTTTAACTTAGTGATGATATATTTAGTAGTTTTTTTATTTGTTCTTCTATTGTTTAAATCCGAATTTGCTCAAAGAATCAGCTAGACTCTTTTTATATGTATCTAATTTCTGAGAAACTGACTATGTATTTTCCATAATAAATAATTAATACATATTTTTAAAAGAGTTCAAATATAAAATAAAAGTAAAGTCTATAGCTTAAAGAAAAAAATGATAGTCAAGCTTTGTGAAGCAAGATAACTCAACTAACAATTTAGAAATCTGAGAGAATATTTGAATATATGATTATAATGTTAAGGGGGGTTGCATTAAGAATGGTGCAAAAATGCAGGAAACTGATATTGATTAATCAAATATTTCATAAATGAGTGCTTTTAGACATATTATTTAGTAATTAAGAGGTTAAGTGGTAAAAATATACTTTTGATGCCTTTTATTAATGAATTTTAAGATTAGGACATACTGCAAGAGTATGTTACGGAGGTTCTTTAAAATATATTAAACCACCTATTCAAATAGATTTATTTCAAGACATCATTTAATAAAATTATATTCACTTTGCAAAATATGAGACCTTTAATATATTGTATTTATAAACTATGAATCAAAAACTATATAGACATTCATGGGGTTTTGGGGTTTTGGGGTTTTGGGG